TTTTGTTATTTAATAAGTCAACTCATGCTTTCATTAATAGGTGCACAGTGTGCATATTTAACTATTTTTTTTATATTTATTTTTTTTTTTTTAAATAGATACGTTTATATTGTACGACTATTTTCTTCTACTTTTACCATTTTTGTTTTTAATTGCCAATTGTGCACTTTAATGTCTTTAAATCCGCCCACATTTTCACCCAACAAAATTATGAATTTTTGCTTAATATTGTTTACTTTACACTTATTTTTACTTTTCACTTGTTAAAACAATATCGAGCCTCTGCCGTTTGTAAGTCTAGGCTTTCACGGCAACGTTTACTAAGTTGTTTGGAAAATTTTCACACGTGTTTGTTGTAGTTTTTCTTTAAATTATTTGTTTTCGTGTAATTTGTTTAGTTGCTGCTGCCGAGATTATTAGATACGGCACCGGCACCAGTGGCACCAGTAGAAGGCAATGACAACCTGACAATCGCACACATCAAAATACTAAGTAAAGAGCATACGAGTATAAGCAAGTGTCATTCAGTCCGTTGATTTTCACCTTTGGTTGCCACTGTCTTGGCCGTGGAACGCACATTCCAAGCTAAGCTTAGTTTGCGCATGCGTTTCGCGTTTGGGTTTGGCTTGCTGCATTCATTATTGACTTAAGTAGTGAAAGTTTGACGTAACTTTTCACGCATTCTAGTACGTTTGCATTTCAACGATTTTATGTTTAGAATTTCTAATTAACTTAAAAGTTATTAAAAATATTAAAATATGAAAAAAACTAAGTAATTAACGAAGTAAGCAAATTGAGAAATTCTTAGACAAAAACAAAAAAATAAAAGAAAGACGTTAAGCAATATGTGAAATAACTGGAAAATGTTAATTACTTCAGAACTACTAATTCTAAGTTTCAAATATATTTCAAATATATTTTAAATAAACAAAATTTTGTTATCACAGCAACTAGTGATGGCTAACCAACAAAGCCGTTTATATCGATTGACTTATAATTAGTTATCACTACATTGAATTTTATATTACTGAGCGTGTGTCACCACTTCAAAAGGTTTTTTACGTTTGAATCTTCTTCTTAAGAGTAAAGTATTAATTAACTGATTCGAAAGAAAAAAAAATTAAAGCTTTCAATATTATGTGTACTATTCAATTTTTAACATCTAAGTATATTTATGTACTATTAAAATAATATTATTAATAAAATATAATATAAATATATTATAATAAATAATATAATGCTAATATATTAAATATCTAAAAATAGTATTAAATTCTTAAGATAACATAACCACAACAAAATGCGGTAAAGTTCAAGTTGCGAATATAATCTTTACTCATACAAAGCTTTTCATATATAAAATTCTATTAAAATTTAAAAAAAAACTGCATGTAAGCACTGCATGTACCGTCAAAACTTTTCTCTGTAAATTAGTAATATTGTACTGTGTTACCATTCTCGATTTTTACATGACTTGGTACTTCTATGTTCACATTAGCTGTTTGCTAATGTATATAAAATGGTTGTTATTAGAAACAATGTTGTCAACGCAACGATCCAATCTCTAAAGTCCATGTTATGTAGACTGTCACAAACATGTAAAAATTGGCCCTTCGAGCTATGACGAAGTACTTTTACTACTACTTTTGTACTTTATAGTTGTGCCTAAATTTAAAAGGAAATGCTCACTTTCAGTTTGACAAAATAACCAGCAAGAAAATACACATTGAGGCTGCAAAAGTGTTAATTTATTATTACAATTTTTTTATAATAATTGTTAACAGTATTTACAAAATTATACGCCTTTCCTTAAAATCGGAAAGTGTAAGAATTACACATTTTATTATACTTTAAATTTAGATTTTTTCCTTAAAACTTATTAAAATTGTAGTAATTTGATCCTAAAAGGCGCACATTCTGATATTTATTACTGCACCACACTGCTTTTGCCTAAGTGACGAGGCACAGATAGCACCGGCTATAATCACTTTCGCCAAATGTGAGAAAAAAAATACCAAAATTGGTACTTTTCTTCTGTATGGTGCTCTGGTACTCGTTTTTAGAAAATGGTACTTTTCTTCCGTATGGTACTCTGGTACTCGTTTTTAGAAAATGGTACTTTTTTGAAACTTGAACCTTATTGTACATATTATAATATTATCCAATTAAATTTATTTATAGATGCAATTGTGCACTATGAAACTAATATAATTTTATGTATTGATTTAGTAAAAATGTTGCGAGTGCAAAAGGTAAAAGCTAATTTCGATCGGAATGGATTTTTTGATCTTAAATAATATTGTGTTATGCAAAGGACTAAAAAAGATATGGCCAGTAAAAGATAGTTCGATTATTTGAATAATAATTTAGTTATGGATAAAAAGATTTATACTGTTCCATATCTTCTGTACATTTTATATATATGTCATTTTCTTATTAAAAGACAATAGCAAAAAATTAGTCCTTTTTTTTGTACAGAAATGGTATCTTTTTGACCCATTTGGTTTGAAAAAAAAATTTGATGGAATTTGAACCGACATATTGTTTTTTTTTCAATCTCAATTTTTTAATTTGCTTTGAAAACAACAACAATTTAGCTCATGATGTGCCCGAGACACCCTGTATAACGTGGTCATAAGAAAACTGTCTTTATAAATTTTCTTTTTATATTTTTCGATACCATTAGCTCATACTTTTTTAATGTTAAGACCGTGTGCGAGTTCAAGTAAATTGATGGTAAATTAAGGTTAATAGTAAATAATTTTGGTATTTATTTTATTTTATAATGTTGGTATTTATCAGAATTTCGAGTAGGGTAAATTAGATAAAAATTAGGTAAATTAGGTGTTATCATTGTGAAATGTTTATAAGATGTTTAATAAATAAATAAAAAAATTTGAAAACTTTTGACCAAAAATAAAAAATAAATGCAATAAATAAATATATTTAAATATAATAATATTTAAATAATAATATAAATATTTATATTTAAATAATATATAATATAAATATTTAAATAAGTGCAGTACAAAAAAATACCTAGGAAATTTCAATTTACTTGAACTCGCATACAGCCTAAGGATGATTTTAGTTGTATAAATTTTTCTTTTTTTTATTCGATATGTTATTGAACTAAATCCATTTATGTATATTATATATATTTAATTTGTGTCAATAAAATAATCGTTTCAAATTATGCAAATTATACAAGCACTTGTACTTGTAAATGGAGACCTTCAATCTTCTGTTTAGATTTGTTTTTAATACAATCGCCGAATTTACAAAGTCAAAATGTTTGGTAAAACATATTAAATAAAATCTTATTTAAAAATCATCTGGCGTTTATGTGAGCCCCGAAGCAAAATCGAAAGACCTAAAAAACGTAAACTTAACAAATAAAATTAAATAATTTTAAATAAAATAAGAAATAAAAAATTATAAAAACAAGAGGAACACCACTAATTGCATAATTCACAACAATTTGTTATTTATCGCGATGCGCGCGGGATTTAAACGTCAAAATACGCAACATGGTTGATGTTAATGACGATGAAGTTGTAGATAATGAAGTTAATGATAATTATCTGTTGGTTGAAGTCAATACGTAATTGCGGTACGCCGTAGCTGCGCATGCAAATTGTTTATTTTGCGCATGCTTAACACAACTAAGTACCGAACTCCTCAATTGTATTTAGCGAAGGCGAATCTCGAAGATTGCGTAGTTACTTGGCATTTTTATTTGTGGGAGGCAGCAGCAGCAGCGGCAATACAACACAACACAACACTAATTCGTTTATTTTGTTTGGGCTACAATGCTTAAACCCAAAAATAAAGCCTCAATTGAATATTGTAATTTGTTAAAGATTGACATACTAACGGTTACAGCAATAATAGAGGAAAGAGAAAAGAAGAAAAAAGATACACACGATGTTGCAGATAGAAAATACAAAATCAGAGCAACACGTTTTTAATGTTGCCAATGAATGTTTACTTTTACATGAAAATAAAAATACTACGAATTTGGCACATAAAGCTCAATGCACTATGCGTCATTATGTCATAAGATTGTGGCGGTGTGAGTGCGAGTGCGTATCTGTGTGAACGCCGCATTTTTAGTAGATACAAAGTGTCGCAAGTATTTCGTATTTCTTTAGACAACTTAAAATGAAGTCGAAAATAAAATTAAAATTTTCTTATTGTTGTGCTGTTGATGCTTTAAAGACCGAAATGCGAACAGGTTGTTTTGTTTGCTTTCTAAGCAATTTTTTTTTTTTGAACATTTTTACATATAATTTTTTGCTTTTTTGTTTATTTAATTTTGTTTTTTTAATCATTATGTTTAAACATATGGTTGAGATATTGTTTCAATTTGTTTGTTTTTTTAATTCTTATAATTTTTATAATTTGCTGTAAATTAAAATTGTGATTATTTTTGATTTTATAGCTACTTTTATGAGAAAATATGTTTTCACAATATAAAGATTGAAAAAAAAAATATATAAATATAGTAAAAATATTAATTCGTGGTAGCCCACAATTTTTCATGTTACGAAATATAAAAGTTTTAATTTGTGTATTTGTTTTTAAAGTATTATACTATACTTGATAAATCATATATAAGTATTATACTATACTATACTATACTTATGAGTACCTCACAGTAAAATTATAGAAACATCTGAAAAATTTTCGACACCTCCATAAAAATCATATGGTTGATATGATTACCAAATAAGAAAATTCTATTTTGTATATTTTTATATTATATGAATAGAAATATTAATTTATACATGGTTTATGATTACGTTCTAATATAAATACAGCAAGTGAATTTGTTAATAAAACATTCACAGCAGAGTAACAAAATTCCAGAAAAATGTGCGAACATAAAAGTCAAGTACGGCTTTGGGCCAGTTGGTTGAGATGCGCTGAATCTGAGTTTTACATTTGGCAGGACCCGAGTCCGCCAAAAAATTTGATCAGCTAAAAATTCAATTAAGTAAAATAATATAAAATGAATTTTTGTTGTTGTAGTTCGCTACTGTTCAAAAAACCCCTTTAATTTATACTAATTTATAATAATAATTTATAATAATATTTGGTATATTACTAATACTAATATTGTTTTATACAAACAGAGGAATTATAGAAACATCTGAAGAATTTCGAATTTCGAATAATGTCGATGTCTCCATAAAAATCATATGTTGTGATTACCAAAAAAGAGCATTTCATTTAGTATATTTCATTATAATACAATTAGATATATTAATTTAAACGAATAATATTTTTACACCATAACATAATTTTTCAAATTACGACATATTACTAAATGAAGTGACAAGTGCTGAGCACATGAATATCCAGACAGGGTATCGTACGTAAGATATCTGTAAAAATAATCGAAGAATGTCTCTATATCTGTAGATATGTTACAGTATATACTAGGTGCAACAATAAGTTTCAAGATCGCAAAAAAAAAACAAAACGGTTTTTGAATGTCATTAATCAAGCAGAAGAAATTGAATAAAAGCTCTTGTCATTTCATTAAACAAAGTAAGCAATATTTTATTTTAAGCATTGGATTTCAAAAACCTGTGTGCACTATAAGCGTACATTCCCTGATAATATAACGAGAACACGTTGAATGCAACAATGAATCCGTGCTTCATTTCATAACTAAAAATGATGCTTGGATGTATAATCATATTCCTGAATCAAAACTGAAAGCTAAAAAAGTGTTGAGAAACCGGCTTCTCGCTTTTTAAAGCAAGTTTAATATTAATAAAGAAAATTTAGCATTTCGCTCAATAAACCTACTGTTCAAATCAGTAAGTTACAAAAACAAATATGAACATTAGCAATAACCAGCTTATATGACAGATCAAGCTAACTATACCTTCTGGCTGTTCTTCCATCTCGGCACTCTTTCGACAACAGGCTGGTTTAAATTCAATGTACAATATGGCCTGTGGTTACATACATCAATGTCTTCAACTACAATCTTCAATTTCCACTATTGTCTTCAATTTTCACTACTGTCTTCAACTACTCTCTTCAATTACTGTCTTCAACTATTGTCTATTATCTCTTCAACTAATTTTGATAAACTGATAACAAAAAAAGCAGTACGCAATTGATGCTGATTTGCAGGCGTCTGATCTATGTTCGAGTAGGATCAGTCGAAACAGAGAAATGTAAAAATCCACGACTCCTCTAAAAGATGATAAAAGCAAATATGATTTTTGTTTTCGTCTGTTAATCCAAATGTTAACAACAGTGCTAAGTGTTATATGACTGTATGTTAATTAAAATTTTAACAATTCAAAATTTTCTTCTGAAACTAATAATTTTAGCGCAGATAGTATATGTAAATGATTCATATATTAAAAAATCTATTTATTATCCATACATTTTATTCGATAAATGTATATTCAATTTCTACTTCCGTTTGTATGATATATCAGTTAATGTAGAAACCAAATAAAATTTTGATCCAAAAAATTAAAACGATATTTTTAATTGAAAATTTTATCTATTCTCAATTTGAACTTCTTTATTAAAGAAAATTTTCTTAAATACAAATTCGCAGTTTCTTTTAATTTAAACGCAATTAATTGTTTTATTTATTTTTTTTAATTATTCTTATCTCATGAATAACGAAGAAATTAATTTAGCACAATTAGATACAAACTGGAAAGAGTTGGATTCAAAAACAAAAGCATACCAACAAAATTTGCTATGCTATTTTTGTTTATATACTCGAAAATATATTTGAAAATATTTTAGAAAAAGTCAAAAGAAAATCAAAATAAAGTTTTAAGGAAAATCTTTTTTATTTTTGCTTAATATTATAACGCGTTATTTGAAAATACGCGTTATTTGAAAATTATGACTAAAAGATGTGCATTTGATGGAAAATTTTATTTTTATATTACTTATAATTCATATAAGACGTACAGGGTGTTTATTTATAAAAGTGACCAACAATGTATATTTATAAATAATATAAATATATTTATTGTTGTTGTATATACAATTCGTTAATACATATGCTTCTGCTTATAACATCTGTTAAATATTAAAATATGGCAGCTAAAAATCATTACATAATAAAATATATTTATAATTAAACTAGAGTCGGTGGATTTTTAATTTTATATATAAAATATTTTATTTTTTACTGAATACAGCCAAGAATACTGGTTTCGATTTTATCAATTCATTCATCATGATACAGTGAGTGTATGATAGATTAGTACACATCTAATTAGAAACTAATTTAATAAGCAAGCGCATACATCAGATGTTTATATCTTTTTATATATTTGTGATATAAATAGTGGTTATTACGAATAACGAGTTCAGTAACTAGTTACTGATATATTTTTTATAATTTAAAAATGATATAATTTAATTTATTAATTTTTTCTTTATCTTGCAGGATCAATACGAAAACTTATCAATACACACAAACAAAGGCATTGAATTTCTGGACAAATATGGCAATTTCATCAGAGATCGCTTAGCGATAGAATCAGAATATGCAGCGAAATTGAGGTAAGTATTATTAAAAAAAAATCAAATATATTATTTATTTAATCTATTTGTAGAAAGTTTTCTACTAATAGAAATTTTAATTTCTGAATTATAAACGTTTAATTTTTCCTACTGAAACCTTTGGTTTTCCATGGTTTTAAAGCAGATTCCAAATATTTTTTTCGCGTTAAAAATTGGCATTAATCTTAACGCTACGATGTGTATGACAATCAATTATTATGATGACACAAACTATCATAATGTCCAATTTTTCATATAATACTTGTTAAATATACTTGATTATTATACTTATTGATATTAATTAATAAGCCAATTTTTTTTATAGACATGACAGAGCCTATATTGTTTTCTGTGTTTTCTTTTTCAAATCTTCAAATCTTTATTTCAAATATGTATATTTGAAACTCCTCTTTAAGTATTTTTAAGTGTCTTAGGCATGTTCAGTCGTGATGCTATTTGTCTTCCAATGGCATCCCGAGCTGGTTTTGTGGTTTAAATGTTCCAAACTCGGTTCTGCTGCAAAAATATTTTTCTGCAATCATTGCCATACAACATTGCAAGTTTCGTATAACATGGTTTTGGTTCGAGATCTGAGATACTCATATATCGAATTCATATTAAACGCGATTCAGCGTAAATAAACCGGTATTATCACACACACAATATTCTATTATGAGTATTACAAAATTTTTGTTAGAAGACTAAAATGTATGAGTTTTCTCCCTAATGCATCCTTCTAAACAATAATATCAGTTGTCATTAGATGATACCATCATTGCTTAAAGTAAGAGCGGTTTAAAGTTGGTTTCTGAAATTCTGAAATACAATTTTTTTTTATTAATTATTTTAAGCAATCTGCTAAATTTTAGCAACAATAATGGGTTTTGAAATTCAAATTCAATTCCTAACCGTCAAATTTTTTGATTTTGTGCAGTTTAATCTATTATAATTTAGGTATTAAAGTAATTTGAAGTTGCTTCCTTCAAAGATTGGAATTTTGATTTTATACACATACGTAAAGAGTTTATTAAATACTAAAAACAAAATAGAAGATCTAATGTATTTACCTCAATAAAAAGTGAATAACGGATTATTTTCTTCAAAAATATAATGATATATTTGTTCTATGAAATATTTAAAATTAAATTATTGTATATATAATTAATATTAGTAATTAATGTATATATTCCTCTTAAAGAGATCGAATCACATTATCGTGAACAGTTTTTTTCTTCAAGTAATTTGGTAATCATTCAAAACTTGATTTGTCCATAAATATTTTATTCAAATATCCAAAATTATGTCTTAAACGATTGCTTTGACAGAGTTGACCTGACCATATTAGTATTGCTCACATTTGTGCGAAAACATTGAATGGCGCCTTATGTTATAGAATGTATGGTCTTAAAATTAGCAAATCACAACAACTGGATATAGTAAAAAAGTTACTCATAACTCAGACAAGCCAACCAATCCCATATTTGGACCAGAACACAACGTTTCGCAGCAGCTGCAGCTGACACGATCATATGAAAAAAATTTATAATTATCACTTTATGGATATCTTTTGTCATTAATTATAAATGTTCTCCTTTTTATATGTATGTGAAAATAAATTTTCTGTTTAAGTAACAAAATTCTTTGCAAAATGAGTGCAAGGTCACGCGGCACTGCTCTTTTTCGGTTATTTGTATGGTGCTGGGTCCGAAAAATTTTATAGCGCTACCGTTGATATATTTCACAAAGAGATAAACGCCTACATCTTGTGCTATTTCTTGTTGCATATATTAAACGTGCCTGCATATTAAACATTTTATCAAAATGTTTATTAAGAAGTCTTAATTTTTTTTTTAAACCAACTATTCAAAAATAAATTATTTAGTAAGTTCTTAATATTGCTTCCGTTCTAGAAGCATGTAATAGGCACTATAAATAGAAAAGCGTATCTTTACGAAAAGTGATTTCTTTTTCTAATTTTAAGTGAATTAAGTGTTACCACATAAACTAGCAGAAATGCTGATATGAGTACTTTAATTTACTTACATACGTACTCACATCATGAATGTACTCACTGAAAGCTGTCAATCATTCACTTTGTACTTAGTGATGTCGACCGCTCATGCCTTTTTGAAAATAGCAAGAAAAAAATCATTGTAAATAAAAACGCTTAAGAAAATAATGTTAAAGTAAAAAACCAAAGGCCAATTTAATTTTGGTTGTTAACCTTCAAGTCCCCCTTCCGAAGTAGCTTTAGTAATTGACTTGAACATTCTCTTGCAACACGTTCAAGCGCAAGCTCAATTGCATTTGAGCTCGCGAATAAAGCGGCGGCTGACTTAACTGACTTAAAAATTAAATGCTCCGAATGGACCGAAACTAAGAATTACATTCGATATACTATCTCATTCATTATCAGAATAGTGTAAATGCTGTTTTGCATGGTAATTGTTTATTGTTGAGGTAAATTATTTAATTAACCAGAACTGATTAGGTTCGTGTTTATGTAAATAATTTTCAATTTGAAGGTTTATTCAAAAGTTTTTCAATTAATAATTAATTATTTATTGAATCGCATATATTGATATTATTTTGGTAATAAATTTCTGTGTAATATATTATGCCTTGATTTTAATACGAACGAAGGCAAAAAAGTAATAACAATTCCTTAAACGATATTTTGGTATCGAAAAGTAGTAAAACTTTTTAAAATTTTCATTCTTTCAAACTGTACTCTGTGTTTTCGATTCAATACAAAAAATCAGTAAAAAAAATCGATAGTATGTTAGTGCAGATAATCGGCCTTACTATCTTACCAAGATGGAGTTATCCGATATCATAGAAAACTGCCATAGCCAGAAAATGAGTGAAATTTTCTTATTTTTTTGTGATTACCCTCGTCGTCATTACCCTTTGCTCTGGTGGTTGGTTGGTTGGTTGCAGTGGCAAGCCATTAAATAACGTCCATGTACCTTAATTAGCGATTTTTCACCTTTTTGCTATCACATTCTTCGCAAGAACCCTAGTAAGAAAAGTAGAGACTAAATCCATCCCACTGAATTTAGATAATTTAATAGGTCTTTCATCTTCACCGATGAACAGTCTGATATTCTATCAAAGAAGTATCTTCCTAAGAACCTATATCACCTGGACGCTAAAGACGGGCATTCAAAGAGAAAATGTATTATGGTTTTTATTATAGGTGCACCGTGTTAATCTGGAAGTTGCACATAACTTAAGTGCTTTGCTTTTGCTATTGCCAAGTTGTAGATAGAAGAGGAAGGTACTTCTTTTATTAGAAGGAAAATTTTCTTGTAATTCTCTGATCCTTATACCTAATGCAAAATGTTTTCTGTTTAAATAAGTACAGTTGTAGTGACAAACATTTATTACAACACATATTATTTTATGCAAACTTCTAATATTCTTCGTGAATGTTAAAATTAAGGTTCTCTCAGTTTTTCTCATACATACTAATAATTTTTTTCCTTTACTTTATCTTTATGTTTTTTGAATAATTTTGTTTTTAATAATTGATGGCTCGTAGTTACATTATTTAGTGTTTGGTATGTGGAAGAACACTCGTAATATAAGTCAAAGACTAAATAAATAAGTGGAATGGACCACTTTCACTATTATATAATTATTGATCTAGTAATTGATCATTCTCTTGTTTTGAACCATAACTAGTTGATTGGTGGTCAAAATACTCATAACTGATAGAATAATTAATAAAATTTCACTGTCATATAAAAAAAGGAAATAATCTTATTTAAAATGAGATGTTCCATTTTCACATTATGTTACGGGCTCCAAATGTTTCCCTAGCTTTTATTTGTCTCTTTTGTATGTCTTATTGATAGTTGTTATCAGTTGATATGTAGACATCTAAATAAGAGAAGACATACTTAATATCTGTGATTTGACAAAGTCTGTAATACTTATATTAATTAATGTTTTTAGAATAGCATTCTTAACATGATTACTGCGCAATATAAAACATTTTGCCATCACTCTTTTTACTGCATAATATAAGTTTTTCTTCTATTTCAATGAAAATGAAATAATTTAATTTGTAATTTAATAGTTAAAATTGTTTTATTGTATAGCAAAACGGGTTTTTAATAACAAAAAGAATCCATGGCATTTCGTTCTGAACTGTTTTTGCGAATATATAATTTAAAGCAAAATCTTGTTATTAACTGTAGTATATAAATTTATTTTATCATAGCTTTGCGCTCTTTTCCAAAAAGAAATGGAAGAATTGCAAAGCTCTCATCTATTGAAGTAGCGCTACAAATCTTAGAAAACCTTTTTATGTAGACTTCGAAAAACTATTCCAAACTGATATTGGAAGCCTCATTAAATTCTCAAAAGAAATTATAGTAATATAAGCGATAAAGGTAGCTTTTGAATCAAGATTATCCGGATCACATAAATACTACAACATAAATTATTGGGAGAGGGGATTTTTTTTCCATTAGGCGTCTAACATAAGCTACCATATTGTATTTATTTAAAATTTATTTTTATATGTAATAACAGTTTTTTATTGCAGTCCAGATCAAAATTCATAAGTTCTTTCAATCGTCAAACTTATTTCAAACAATGTAGCTAAAAGTTAGAAGACTCATCTATGATAGTTTTCTGTTATGATCACCCATCATTCTGGATATTTTAATGGCCAAACTTATTATATATTCGTAGCTGAAAGTTAAACATTAATCCATAGATTTAATGTTTTAGAATTTTTGTTTCTCTAATTATTGTTGTGTTTTTTTTAAACACGTACAAGGTGTGTAAATATAAAGATAGAACAAATAAGATTTAAAAGCTGTTAGTACGAGGCGTGTTATAAAGTCCTTCAAATAGGGCTTGTCAGTGCTAAACAAACTTTTTGCGTTGTTATCTTAACCCACATTTATTTATTAAACCACTGAAATATATATGTAACATCAATCTTAATAAACTATCCTCATAAAAACTGACCTTTCTCAAAATGAAAGTAAACTTATTTAATTAAACTAAGTTATGAAATAACAAATTTTATAATTTTATTTAATTAAAAACTTATCAGCAATGGGTCGCCTATACACGCCTATAATTCTTAGTATTACATGTACGAATATAAGTTCCATTTGTTATGATTATATTGTAGTAATGCAAAGTTAAATATTTTTGCTAAATGTGAAATTTTTGCAATTAAACACACCTTTAGCAGTTACCGAAGCATGTGTATTCATTTGTCATTCTATTATTAATAGAATAAAAGTTCTCTAATGTTAGTCTGGAAAGTCGGCCTGTTGCTGATGTTCTCCTATTGAAGTTTCGTGTTAATATGTCTCACTTAAAACATACGTTAATAAATGGCACCAATTTGCTCGCACTCATAGAATCAGATAAATTATGTGCTGGCATTTGTGTGATGTTGTCTTTTGAAGAGCTGGTACCGACACTTTGCTGACACACTTTACACATGCGACACTTTTACACTTTTGTTTCTATTATTTCTATTATTTCTCTGCGCCCCTATTTACAATGGGTTAGTGCTAGCTAACGCCTCCCTCCATAAGCCACAACAACTTGTAATGTGATTATACCAAGGGGGTTTCATTTTACACATTGCCACAAATTTGTTGTGTTATGATTTGGTCAGTTTTAATTTTTAGTGTATTTTTCTGCTACTTGAGTAACTTACGAGTATAAGTACATCGCATTGAGGGTGAAAGTACTTTAGACTTTATTTCAAATTCTACTTTGCTTTAATTACATATTTATTTCTACACTTTGTATATCGTTTTACTTAAAGTGTCATTTCTCACAATCCGGAAACATTGTCAACTTATCTTATCAATCTTTGAATTATTTATTTTTTTTTTAATATTATTTTACTTTACTGAAGGTTTTCTTGCTCGAGATAACCGCAAGCAAGCCATCCACTAATCCGCAAATTGTTAAGATTGCAGCAACTCTTCATCTTGCAGTGATGATGAGATTTTTGAGATTTTCTCAAGCTCAAGTTAGCGTGTGACTTCAGTTGCCCTAAGTATATGCTAATCTGTAGTTTGTCATTTTGACTGCATAAAATGTTGTCTCCATTTGTATCTGATTTACTCATATACTATAACGACTCGAACATCATCATAAACATTTGTGGTGGCACTGTCGACTTCGCTCATCTAAGCTCCACTATAAACTTTGTTTTTATTTGCATTCAACTGAGTGCTTTTTTTACCTCACCATATAGCGGCGTTTATTGTGTATTTCAAGTGACTATGAATCTTACATATAAGAAATTCCCATGATTAAATCTGGTAGACCACAAAAATCTACAATTTCTGCAGTTAACTGCTGTATATTGTTTTCCATCTTCATAAATAAGTTCACTAAAAGTTGTCTACTTTCTATATCTCAACTAAAAATTATTATTTTTTTTCTATTATTATTATTGCGTTTATGCATTTTTAATAACTTTTTTGTTTTATGATGCTTTTTACATAGTAAAGATTTCATGTTCCATTAATTTTTTCTTAACTTTCAAAATCAAAACAAAAAAAAAATAAAACATTAAATACGTAACTCTGCATTGCAACACAAAAAGCAAAATAAAAAAAATATGAAAATATATAATTTAATTTATTTAAAAAATTAAATTTATTATTTAAATTAATTATTAGCATAAATTTCACTTAATTTGTTTTTATTGATATATAATAAAATTAATAAGTTTAATTAATTAATTTATTTTCTTTCTTCTCTTAACTGCTTCACAGACGACTAGTGAAAAACTATCAGCCCAAGAAAAAAGAGGAGGAAGATAATGAGTAAGTATTTATGCTAAATGGTTAAGTTAGCTATGTTAAAGATACAAATCTAATCATACATTTCAATTAATTATATTATGACAACATATTTAATTTCGAAATAAACGAAAAAAAAATCGGTTGCATATTGTTAAGCACGTATTTATTTTAGTTTATAATTTATTATTGGCTATTCGCCAATGTTTGAAAAATTTGGCTGCTATTTTCGTATTATTTTGAAAAAACCATGAAGCACAGTAATAAATTTATTTATATATAAAATATGTATAGATTTTATAAGTATAAGTACATAAATATACTTATTCTTATATATAAAAAACAAAAAAAACATATCTAAATAAGAATTGTAGTTGCATTTTAGTGCTTCCAGCTCAAAAAGCAGTATATTTTGTGTTCATATAAATTAACTTTAAGAAAATCTAAAGAAATAATCTTGTTTTGAAATATAATAAATAGAAATATAGCAGTCATATTTTTTATTTTATTAACAAGCATATGTTATTATATATATTACTATTATTAGAAGGGCGAATGTTATGTTGGGGCATATTAGAGAATATGCTCGCTCAGCGTCTAAGCTGGCAAGATTTTTACATACATTTTCATAAAATGAGGTTAGGTTACAAAATGATAAAAATTATTACATACAATTTATAGTTTTAAACATTCATTAAAAATTTATAATTTAAAATTTTTTTAGTCATCTTTTGAGTATTTATTTAACTTAATTTAGTTTTACATTTAGAAAAACAGATGGTTTATCTGTTTTCTTTGATCTTTATAAGTTCTGCATATTTCTTAATGTAATGTCACTGACTTAAAAAAGCATACAAATAATTATTCTCTATTTTATGTATAATTTATTTTCTACTACATTATTATAACTACTCATATTACTTCTCCTGAATGTTATTGAGAAATATATTATCTCATAAAATTATAAATTAGCATTTATTAGATTAGTTTGCCATCTTACTAGTGAAGAATTGGGGTTGTTACGTTAGCTTAGTTTAATAGCAAACTTTATTAATAGATTTTTTCAAAGTCAAACATAACGAAGAAGTTATTTTAAAATAGAAAATGCATAAATATGAGTAATGCATTGCATGACAAAAAACATATTCTTTTAAATTTCCATTTTTGTTTTCTCCCATTATTGTTACAGTGGTCCTCATTAGTGGTCCTTGGATCTTTTTTTAAATTTATATTGCTATATTGATTACTCTATATATTTCTTTGGCCAACACATATTTCTGCTCATTAAAATACTTATTAGAATATTCAATACTGCAGCATGATAAAGCAGTCATAGAAATAAATCGGAAGTATTTAGGTTAATATTTGTCTTAACGGGATACTGGACTATAGGACAGCATAAGTTAAGATCAAATCTGCTGTAGTGCGTGTTCGCCAACACTCGAACAGTACTTGTCTTGTTTATGTGTAAGCTTGTCCAGGCTTGCGCAGAACCAGACTTAAGCTCTTCGGCGTCCTACTCTTTAACATACTCAGTTATATTTCCAATATTTACATTGACTAGATTCTTACCATGAATGCGTCCGGCTGATTCTAATATACCTATCCTTCTACCCAATATTACGAGTGATCTGGAATTAAAATTAATTTCTTAACTAATTGTTGAGGACTCTTTCATCCTTTTATTTCATTTACTTATCTATGGTTATTTATAGCGAATAACCACTAGACCTACACATCCATAGTGTGTGAAAAATAAAGATCACCATGTAAATATTAAGGTTTACATTTGCATTGAGAGGGTATTCGCTATACAAAATAAATACAGTGATCCAGGGTCTGATTTATATCTGAGGTAATATTATATTAAAAGTTTGTATGTAAGTTAATAACAATATATAGTTTTTAAATTTTTACAGGGATATGTACAAACATTGGAGAAATAATCAAATTTTATATAATGATTATCTGATAAATTATTCGGATATGGCAGCTAACATCAGTTATTTGAAACGTATTTACTTATTTAAATATATATATGTTGATCTTTTTCCGAGTTAATGCATCTGGGCACTTTTACTATTTGATAGCTGGGGGTTTTTTCCACCCATCTCACTGACTAATTTGTGTATTTAAATATGAGTTCTAGTTTTTGTATACACGCAAACTCAAATAGTCCTTTTTTTGTTGTTGCTGTAGCAGTCAGACATGACAGGTCCACCACCGGTTCTAGAAATACCTACTTAAACTGATTTTTTGTATGGTTGAAATAAGTTGGAAATTGTGACTGTATTTGAAAATCTATCACGTAGAAAATAATCTCTGCATATCAATGCATTAACTATATGAGTATTTCAGAAAAATATGTGTACATGATGATTCAGTATTGTTTTACGTTGAATATAATAAATAGAAATATAATTTTTAAGAACTTATTTGCAATTTTAAAATATAAATAACGTATATAAATCTATAATACGTTAACTTTATTAAATAAAAACCTTAATTACAAACACTACAGACATATTTTTCATACTCATCTCTCAAAAGTTCAGTGACCATATTACACGCTGACAAAAGCAAAAATGCATTAACCAAATTTTTTATTTAAAAAAATTTTTTTTTAAAACAAACAAAAAAAAAAAATAAATAAAAACTTTTGAAAATATTTATTTTATTTTCTTGCAGTTTTTTATGTATATTTTGCATCATTATGACGCATCAATGCATTTCGTATTTTCTGTATAATTAGCAAAAATTTACATATTGGACTAAAGTGATATACGTGCGTTTTTTTTTTTTGAAACATAAAAAAAGTGTAAATTTTAAAATTCTGGCGCTAAAATTTAGTTTAAATATCATAAATGACATCATTTTGTCCTCGATTGTAAAAACGTTCTTTGCATTTTAATTAAAATATTGAACAATATTTGTAAATTAATAAAAATTCCAAACCAATTTTTAACTGCCATATCAAATGTATAAATATGGTTTTTATTCCTTAAAATACTTTTTCTATTATTCGCATTTTGAATAAATTATGCAAAATGATTATTAATTCAATTTAGCATTTGCGTGCTTTTAAAAGTATTTAAACTAATTTTAATTATATATCAATGTGTGTTCATTTTTATATATTTTTAATTTTAATAGTTTCAATTAAAAGTAATTACACTTAAACTTTGAATATTGAAAACACTTTGAATAGTTATTTTCTTAAAATTTTAAATTTAAATTTAATTTTTGTTTGTGTAAATCTTTTGATTTCTACAACAACGATGATTTACACAACAATTAAAAAATATTATAACAATAATTTTCATTTTGTTTTTTATAAACGGAGATACACAATTAGCTGTGTCTTTGTGATTAGCTATGGATCTCTAAAATCCTGAAATAATTTGTCACGACTTAATCTATAAAAAAATGAACTCCTATATTTTTCTTCGTCTTTCGTATATTATTCTGTCTTCCACTATGTTTTCTAGTTCAGTCAGCCACTGTTGATTCACGACTTCAGAAATGCTTGACATCAAGCTAAATTTTGATGATGGTTAGATAATTCAATTTTACAACAGCGGCTCTGAAGTTCACAGGTTTTATTATTAAAAATCAAATTATAAATAACAATAAAAACAGCTGGTTTTAAACATCATTTGATTTTAAATTAAATAAAAATTAAAAATGTAAACTTTGATCCTACAAAAAAATTATTAGTTGCTTTTCAAAAAAAAAAATTTTTTATACTGTGAGTAAACATTTTGCCCTTTTTCAACACATAAAGTTAAATAGTTAAAACATAACCTATATTGTGAATTAGGTTATAACAACAGCTATTCGTATTAACGTTAGAGTCAAATCCGTTTATGTATTTATTTAAGATTTTATATTTTACTATTACCAAAAACCTCTATTTTCATATATTTTATATATATTGTTTTAGAAAATGTAGTATAAGCATTAAAAAAATGTGTTAAATAAATACAAATAAACATGTATGTATTTGTTAGTAGTAGTGTTAATTTTTTAATTAATAAAATTCAAGTTCTTTGCAAAATTAAACATTTCCATATTAAAATATATTCTGTAAAGTTGAATGTTAACTCATAACAGCGTCCCAACATTATGTTAAAATCTAACGACTGTTAGATTTTTTAACAGAAGCAGTTTGTATGTTTTTGGTTCTATGTTAATGCGATGTTTTTGGCAGTTTATATTTTATGGTACTGCCATGTGAAAAAAAAAATTAATTTTATTTTAAAAAGGCTTAAGTAATATTTTCTATTTTCTTTAATAAATCTTCAATGCTTACAATAAAATAATAATTAAAAAGAATTTTATAGTCACACATTATACAAATTAAAGTTAAATATGTAGTTATTAAAATTATACTAGCTATTAACAGACGCGTATCATAACAACTTTTTGAGTACATATAACATATAGTAAAAAATTTATAAAAATTTTAATTTCAAGATGATGATATCGCTATACTATAAACTACTAAATGTTTTTAATAAATAAAAAGGCATAGAGAGGGGTTATGAAAAAATCTGGCAGTTAATGGAGTGTAAAAGTGGTCAAGTGCACCGACTTAACTAGCCTCAACATAATAAATAATATTTTCTTGAAATTACCTAGATTGCATAAATTGTTCAAATTGATTTTTAAAATTCGTTTTCAATAGAAAGATATTTCGAACAGTAGTTAATTATAATAATAAAATTTTATTATTTACTAATTAGGACACGAGTTCAACTCTTGGTACTTGCAGTGTCAAATAATTATTTACAAATAATTAAATACAAGAAATAATTCCAAGACCACTGATGATGGGTATGTGGCAATACTCCAAAAAAACTTTATGATCTGCCAAAAACTAAATTGATTAATAAATAAAGTTGAACTAAGATTGTTTTTCAACTAAAAGTTGAGAAAACTTTAACAGTAATATTAGGCCCACTACTTTTATTTAAAGGACACTAAAATGAAAACAAGTTAGCAAATGAATACAAGTCAGAATACAAATAGTAGTATTCACAATCTTGAGTAACGAGCTCAGTAACCGAGTAACAAAAAAAATATATTTACTTAAATTATATTTTGTTGATATCCGAACCGAATCATCATGTTATTCGGTTACTCAGATTCCTAGTTAAGATGGCAAATCCATTAATGTTCTTGTGTAACTACTTTAATATCCTATCTGAAAGCAAATCTTATAATGTTAAATTTTTAAAATTTTAAATAATTGTATTATTCATTTCCTTTTCAGATTCTCTTCTTGGCAGGCATTTCGAAATGTGCTGAAAGAAATCGGTGATTTAGCGGGACAACGTGAAGTTGTTGCTGAATCACTACAATTACAAATTATACAAGCAGTAACGCTGCTATCAAAAACATTAAGAGAAGAAAGAAAAGTGAGTGTATTTATGACACATTTCCCATAATACAATAATTATAATATAATATATTTTTTTTTCACAGAAATGTTTAAATGACGGCACAACACTACAACAGAACCTTAATTATCAATTAGGTGCACTAGAACGTGCAAAACGTAACTATGAAAAAGCCTATAGGGACTCAGAAAAGGCCATAGAAAGTTATAAAAAGGCTGATATGGATTTTAATTTAAGTAGAGCAGAAGTGGAACGGCACAAAAATGTTATGACCCAAAAAATACAACAGTCCGATGATGCAAAAAATGAATACGCAAATCAATTACAAAAAACAAATAATTTACAACAACAACATTATAATGTGATGCTACCTGCGGTAATAAAAAACACCATAACTATTTTATTAAAATAAAAAATAAAAAATATTAATATGAAATATTCTCTTTAGGTATTTAATCGTTTACAAGAGTTAGATGAGAAACGGACTCGAGGTATACGGGAGTTTATAGTTGGTGCTGCTAAAGTTGAATCAGAGGTAGCACCTATAATAGCTATATGTATGCAAGGTATTGTTAAAGCCGGCGAGTCAATAAATGAAAAAGAAGATTCCTTTAAAGTCATAGAGAGGTTAGTGAGAATTATTTAATTTAAATAATGTTAACTTCAGTAATAATTTATTTAATAACTTCTCTATATAGGTATCAATCTGGTTTTACGCCACCAATCGATATACCGTTTGAGGATTTATCTAAACAAGATCACGATACATCACAAGATTCACACTACAGTAATATGCAGTCAAACCATTTAACAATGAAAGGCACTATGAGTGCGAATAAACTTAAGAAACGTGTAGGAATATTCAATATATTTGGTAGTAATAAGGTAAATATTTTACATATTTATTATATATAAAAGACTGCAAGTTTCTTTTTAAAATTATGTATTGACATTTCTTTTAAGTCTAAATGTTTTTTTTTTTAATTAGGAATACGCCTAAATTTTGTGTATTTAATTGTTAACTTTACAAATATAAATGAATTAGTTATTATACTTCGGAAGTGTTTCTAAATATTTTTTTATATATCTACATAAAATTTAAATTATTGTCGTGTTAATATAAAAAAAATTTGTCGTAATATAATAGCCACTTTGATAGTTTGATGAAAAGATTAAAAATTTTATTTAATTTAATAACTTATATTGATAGTAAAATAATAGTATATGGTAATAGGAAATAATTTTTTTATTTTAGAAATAATTAAATTAAATAAATAATTTAATGTAGAAAGAACATTTAAAAACCAAAACGTAATTTTTGAATTAATGATATCTACCTTATGTTAATTTACATCTGCAAATAGCCAAAAAAAAAATGAAATTTTGTGCCTGAAATAATTGAATATTATTATAAGTTGTTCGTCAAACTGATATTACTATATAGTGTAGATTTTTTGTGGTTATCGCTCGAAATGACGAGTAAAACCATGAAATTAGTTTGAATCATACTCTGAAAAATATACTCATACCACTTTTGCATTCTTAATAAAGTTAAAGATATCTCACAAGAGGTGGACTATCGCATAAGACTTAACAAATTTTGTTGGTTATTAACCCATCTAAAACTAGGCATATAATTAATTTTAATATTATCGAAATCTGTAATATTGTTCATGTTGTTAGCAATAGAAAACACAGGCAGTAAGTCGAATTTCTAACATCTCGACGAGGTTAGGTGTGGCCGCTGCTACGAGAAAGGGAGAAAATTAAAGTACTATTAGTAATGAATATAGGAATTTGAATATGATTTTCAAAGCTAATAAATTTATTTGACTGATGCAAGTAGTTATTGAATTACTTAAACTGTGAGGAACGGTGTCACATAACATCAGTCTACGAATAATTCTTAACAGGAATCTGTCACAGAATTTCCTTTTTACCTAACCTAATTTTGTATCTACTTGGACAAGTTTCAAATAAATATTATTGTACGAAAAGTAGGATAGAATATTTATTAAATTCAAATCGCTCAATGAAATTACAAGTGATATCACATATCTTAATACATAGAGTTACAAAACTTCGAATATATGTAGTATTAATAGTTAATTTAAAGTCTTATGTGATGATTCCTGTTCTCTATTTCCTAGTTTCGCTTGTCTGATATCGAGTAGGGATTGTCGTTTTCTTATTTTATATTATTACCTAATTAAATAAAAATTATACAATTAATAAATAAATTAAATAATTTTGTGAGTTAAAACCTAATTTTATTGTTAAAGAGATAAATTATTATTTAAATTTTTTTTTTCTTTATTCTTTATTTGTTTATTTTGTAAACATCAATCTATCAATTTAATCTAATCGATTATCGTTCCTTTTTACAAAACTATTTTTACTGATTTAATAAAAATTCATTTATTGTTATATTAAATAATTGACAATTAAGTATACAAAAAATCCATTTTTAAAAGTGTCTATATAATATCCCCTTATGAATAATATATTTAAACCCTTTTTTTTCTTAAATATTTTATGTCAAAATATTTATGAATTTATGTGTTATTAAATAGAAATTAATCATATATTAATTACGAATATGTTAAACTATTTATTTAATATATATCTTCATTACCACAAGCTTAATTGTTTCATTTAAGGAAATCAATTGCTTTTTAAAAATGAATTCTAAGTTTAATTTTTTTACGTGTTTTAAATTTTTTGTTATTTAAGCTTTATTTTATATTTCCTATAAAAATATATTTTTGTAATTATATATTTTTTGTTTTTATTTCTTTAAATGGTTATTGAATTTTTTTTTTTGTAACTTTTTGTAACTTTTTTTATAATTTAAATTTTTCATTGTTTTTAAATTGTTTTTGTTAGTTGCATTTTATATTTTATTGCTTTTTGAAAAACATAATTTAAATTATTATTTGTTGTTGTTATTAGTTTTTAAATGTGCTTTTGTACTTTGTAGATTTTTGTTTTAATATAGAATGTATTTCTTTTTTGTATTTATTTTCATTATTTCTCATGATGTCTTTTCTTTTTATATATTTTTCTACAAACTTTTCCTCATCCACAAATATTGAAAACATGATAAAATTATATATATAAAAATAAAATATATGGACGTTTGTGATAATTTAAATCGTAACTGAATTTTATGTAAGTACCAAATGTCCGAAAAGTGTTGTTTCATGTTGTAATGTTTTAGGCTAAAAACAATTCTTATATTCACACTCAAACCCAAAATGAACAACATGTCAAAAATGCTTTTGTTTTAACTAATTCGAAAAGTTATTTATTGTTGTGTTTAACATAAGTTACAATCTTTATTGTGTTTAACAAATTCTAATAATTGTTTGCGCAATTGCTTTTGTTATTATTTTTTATCGTTTATGTATTTGAAGAAAATATTAGAGAAATAAAAAATTTAAGAGATACCAGCAGTTTTTTCTAATAGATATTTAGAATTTATATGTTTATACCTTCTCATATAATTTCTTTCCAACTAAACGTGTGATATTTGATCTTTAACTAACTTAAGGATTATCAAATAATTTGAGGATCTTCAGCTAACTTAAGAAGCTTCAATTAACTTGCTAATCTTCAACCAGCTTAGGAAACTTTAATAAGTTTGAGAATTTTCAACTAGCTTAATAATCTTCAACTAGCTTGAGGATCTTCAACAAACTTGAGGATTTTCCACTAACTTTTCAAATACCTTGAGAATATTTAGCTAACTTAAATTAAGACATAATCAATTATATTATGTTTGACAGTTATGAATTAAACTTAATAAATAAATAAATTAATAAATTTGTATTAGGATCAATGTTAATTAAATTTAATTAATTTTTTTTTTCTGAATTGTGTCAGTTTGACAAATTTAATAATTGTATATCAAGCAGTTATATATATATACCATAACACACCTTTTTTTATTTAATTGACAAATTTGTCAACTATTTATTGAAACTTGACAGACACAATAAAGACCAATATCATTGAGCAAAAGTATCTTAGCTTCTTTTAAAATCATATTTGAACAGAAGAAGCAAAATTATAATATTCGATATCGAGTGGCATAGTCTCTTTCATAATCTTTTTCTACTTTAATAGAAACGGATGATGGAAATAGATGGATATTTCATCTCAAAGTGACTTGAAAAGGTTGTCCTATTATAAAAAGTGTCTAAATAAAATATTCACTTAAACTATGAATTCAATATTAATGCAAAATATTATAGATTCTGTTATAATATGTTATAACTTCAATTAAAATTCAAAATTCAAAAATAACAACTGTTTTATAATAACTTTTCAAAGGAATTCATATTCATTTAAAAATTGTAACACTATTTATAATATAAAATCATACACGTAAAAAATCTCTAAAATATTTTCTTCTATGACATTTTTTAATTTTTATTTTGTTTTCAAAAAAATCGTTCAAAAATTGGTGCTTCAATAGTCAATAATTAGTCACAAAAATGTAATAACCATAAAATTTTGTATTAAATTGCTAAAGCTTCTAAACCAATAAAAATAAACTACATGTGTTAATTCCTCTAAATGTGTATTTATATTGCATTCTAGTATTTGTTGTTTATCATTGTAATTAATTTTAAATAAATTACGTTTTTATTTAATTCCTTTTTTATAATATTTCTTATTTAACGTTTATATATAAAATTAATTTATTAAATAACTAATTTTTTATATATATTTTTTCTCTATTTTTTTTTTCTTTTTACATCTTATATATTAATATTTTTTTTAAACAAAATATTTTTATAAAAACATTATTTTGGCTTTCAAAATTTAAATTAAAATAATTAATAAATTCTTTTTACATTTTACTAAATTATAAACTTTCATGCAAATTCTCACATATATGTACATATAAACAACATATACACATATATATACAAACGAACACGCCTACAATTTAAACTTCAATCATATAAATGCATTTAAATATGTGATACGATTTCAAAAACTCTGTCGTAGCAACAGAAGATTATTGAAGCCTGTATCACCATGAAGGTATGACTTAACGCTGCTTTATTATTATATACTAACCATTATAAATTAAGTACATATCTATCTACTCTTTGTAATACTCACTATTCTCACTTCATAGATTTTTCCATTTTGGTCATTAAATCACTTTATTACTTTTTGCAATAGTTTAATTATATTTTTTATCACAAAGCAAATATTTTTAATTTTATTATGAAAAATATATATAAAATATAAACAAATATTATTTTAAGTTTGAGTATAATATTAATTTAATAATTAATTTAAAAACTTGCATGGATAATTAAATAATAATTTGTATTTAATGTTTGTCCAATATAATATTTGTACTTTGATTTGTATCACTATTTACATTACCTGTTGTTATTGTTGTAATTGTTCTTAAATCGTGCACTATATCATAAAATAAATATAATTTATTCATTTTATTTAATATATTATTTAATATTTTCGGTTTTTCTTTTTCCAATCCACAAATTTTATTTTCTATAGAATTCATTAACTGCGGACGGCCAAAAGGAAGATTTTAGTGATTTACCACCGAATCAGCGACGTAAAAAGCTACAAGCTAAAATTGCTGAATTGCAACAAAAAATCAGTCAAGAAACAGCTGCACGTGATGGTCTAATGAAAATGAAAGTCGTTTATGAAGCAAACTCATCGCTAGGAAATCCAATGACAGTGGAAGGACAACTGAACGAATCCGAGCACAAATTGGAAAAGTTAAAAATAGATTTAAAAAAATATCAAGGATATTTAGAAAAAGCAAATCAAGTACCCATGGCGAATAATAGTCCGCAAGCGAACCGTAATACTTTCCAAAATGGTCACAGAACATCAAGGTTTGATAAATAAAAATATATTTAAATATATAGAGAGAAAAAGGTAATATATATATATTTTTTTTTTGTTATAGACATTCCAATGGTAGCACCGAAGATAATAATGATGAAGGTGATGACCAGCCTGATGATGCTGGCAGTTTAAGCAGGTCAGATTCAGAGGATAATGTGGCGCAAATACAAAATGGGCATAATAATAACAATAACGGGTACACTCATAAGTCTATGTTTGTTTGTTTTAAGCACCATTCTTTATACATAATTTTCATATTTCTAATTTCTATACACTTTTGTTTTCCTTACTCTTCTTACTATTCATTTAAATTCATTGCACATTTATTTAAATTACTCATTTAATATCAAAAAATTAAAACATATGGGTGTAGAAGAACTAAATCTAAATATATTCGTCATAACCATTTCTATAATTTAATAACGTTAGAACTATTAAAAGTCATTTAATTTTATGTATATATATATATCTCTTTCTAATATTCTATTTCATAATATGGTTTCAGTGAAAGAAAGAATATTGGGTATTACCATAGCATATAGTTAAAGTGTGTTATGTTAGGTTATGTCACGGTTAAAAGCGAAGCCTCCATACAGATCGCGAGTTACACTAGAGCTTTTGTTTTCTAATGCACTATCTTTTCGTATGGAATTGGTCAACTTAACAGTATCTATGTGACGTGTATATTTAATGCCAGAATTAACTGCATCAATTTAACCAATTTATTAAATTTTTTTTTGAGAATTTAGAAAGATTTCTGATATTAGTAGGCTTGCTTTTTGTTGATGCTAAACATTTACAGAATATCAGCTATTTAATAAAAAATAATTCTTGCTTTTCCTTTTCGCACAAGTCGCAAATATCATCAGTCAAACCTTGAGAACACCTTTCCTATTAAGCAATGACCGGCTTAATGACAGGATATAATATTGTCCATTTTGTAGATATAAACATATATTTTTTATGTTTATATAAACAAAAAAGAAATAACTCCTTGGTGGAAGCTAAAATTTTGTTTTTATCTTTTAAATATATAACATAAGTTTTTACCTATTATAAATCAAAAATATATCATTACATTTTAATAGTATTTTGTACTTTAAAATAATCGTGGTAAATTGTTAACGATTCTAAAGCTAGCGTCAAAATGTGTGCCTGTATTGAAATTTATAGACTTGTATATTTATAGACTTGTTCTATGCTTAAATATGTAAACTTTATTGGTATAAAAAGTATACACTACATTTTATACGGCCCATATTTTTGTTGTTTTAATTCATCGAATAAAAGACACATTTTTTTGCAGTGAAAAGAATGAAATTATTGTTCCTCAAAAGAACACGATATATCCGTGCTTGAAGACACTTCGAAAAGATACAAGACTCTTGCATCAGTAGGTATTAAAATTGTAGAATTTTGGTGACATATCATAGTATAATATCCAATGACTTATCGTCTGAATTGTTTGTTTGCTGATTCGTTTGTATAATCGTTATATTATGCATTTTCTTCTCAAATTGCTACGGTGATTATTAAATGTCTGAATTAACTAACTTTATCTTTATAGATTATATATTTATATTTTTCCATGTAGTTAAAAAACACATGTGGTTATATAGATATTTCTTATATAGATATTTATGTAGATATTTTTTATAGATATTTATTAGTTTTAAATAAAATGAACTAATTTTAATGTAATATAATTCAATATAGTAGCTAAAGTTATGGCGTACTAATTTTTTTCACTATATCATTAACTTTGGACTAATCATAAAATGTTTTTCATATATATATATATTGTTTATTATATGTACATGTATCTACTTTAAAGTAATACAATTTCTCTAATGTACTCTCGTCTCTTTATTTTGGTTTTCTCTAAACTCACAATTAAAATTATGGGATTTACTTAAATATTCAAAATTATAAAATACAAAAGTCGCCACAATATGCTAATTTATTTAAAAGTAATTGTAATTTATTATTAATTACTTATTTAATTTTCAAATAATTTTTTTTATTGTTTTAAATTTAAATTTAATTTCGTACTTTTGCTACAATTTAATAATATAAAACAAAACCCCCTTCAAAAATTTTTCTTCCAATTCATTACATGGTATAATTCAGCAGTTCGGCAAGTCCTGAAAGTGGGCTAGGTACATCGCACACATCATTGCCTGGTTCCGGTCAAGGCAGTGCAAATGAAAATGCGATCGGTGAAGATGCATATTTTGAAACGGAAATAGAAGCCTTACAGCCACTAGGCACATGTCGTGCATTATATCCTTTCGAAGGTAAGCAAATAAAAAAATATAAACAGTTTATAGAATAACAACTACACTATTTATTTACTATACTCTACACACTTTAGCTACCAGCGAAGGCAGTATACCTATGAATGAGGGTGAAGAACTCCAAGTGATTGAAATTGATCAAGGTGATGGTTGGACGAGAGTACGACGTATGAATGGTTCCAATGGTTGGGATGAAGGATTTGTGCCGACTAGTTATATAGAATGTACATTGTATGCCTAAATCAGTCAACGTCATTCATATATGTTTATATATACATATATATGTTATATATATAATCATATTTATATATATACCATTTATTTTTAAATTTAGTAATATATATTTTCTTTTTCTTTCAATTCAATTTTCATGCATATATTTATTTAAATTATATAAGCTTCAAGACATTGCAAGAAAAGAAGTCTACTTCAGTCGTTCAAAAAGCAATTGCAAGTAGTAAATTAGTGGGGAATGAAACTGATGATATCAAAATAATATATTCAAAAGAATGGTGCAAGTCTGAATAGAACATCAAGTTTAAATTCCATTTTAAAATATCGAATGTATTTTTGTTTTTGCTTTTTAATTTTGCTATTAAATTGATTAACAGGAAAAATAAAACTAATATAATTATTGGACCTCTTCTTAATTTTAATTACGATATTGTGTTGTGCGTTTTTCATTAAGAGATTTATTTTTATAAAATAATTTTTGTTTAATTTTTTTCTAGAATTGTAATAAATTTTATTTTTGGTTCAGTTTTTTTTACGAATTAATTTTTTAAAATCATAGGCAAAATTATTATATTTTTATACGATCATAAATGTAGTGAAAAACAAAAATCCCTTTGCATCTTTATGTAATCATAATAAAAGAATTAATATTAGTGCTAAAATTTTATATGGTTTTTCTCACTATTATATATTGATGTACGTATATTATTATATTTTTTTTAAATATATCATTTCATTTCGTTTATACTTTCATAAAAAGAAGAAAATTAAATAAATAAAAAATAAAATTAATTCATCTATGAAACAACTAACCTCACCTGATATTAAAAGGAGAACTCCTTATGCACCAGAGACACATCTTTAAAATTCATATAAGTATTTCAGAAAATAATTACATTTTAAATAAAAATATACTGAACAATATTTAAAATATTTGAAACCTATTTTGTCACAGAACTAAAAGTAATAAAAATTTACTTAAAAATGAAATATTACTTTGACATGTAAAAAATAATGCAACATAAAAAATTAATAAAAACCGAAGCCTAATAAACAATTTCATTTATAATTAATTTTTTAAACATCTATACGTTTATAATAAAAATTGTAAATTATTTTTTTCTACTGTAAAGCGTTACAATAATGATACGCTGCTTTTATACAATAATAACATGTGTATATTTTATTTTTTAAACAAATTAATGTTATTAATTATATTAACTGATAACTTTTATTAGTTATAAGTTTAAGTCAATTTATATATGCTAAATGCTGCAAAAAGTGTTGAAAATGCGCATTTTTATAATTTTTATAATATATATTAAATAAAATTATTGTTAAGTTGTATAATTGTAAGCTTATTTGCTAAATATAATTAATAATAATAAGCGTTAATAAGCAAAAATTATTAAAATTAATAATTTTAATTAATTAATTAATATATTTATAAGTTAATGTTGCAATTTTATGATTTAAAAATGCATAAAGCGTCTATTTGTGTATATTTAGTAAGTTGAAATATTTTTTATTTAGCTGTATTAAATTTAAGTCTTTATTTTTATTGCTTTCAAGCGAGTTTAATTATGTTTCTTTTTTAAGTTAGGCTTAATATAAATAAACAAACGAGTAACTATGGCGCTAGATTGCGCATGAATAAATATTGATAAAATTATTAAAATGAATTAAATAAATTATATGAAATAATGTAATTAAAACTTATTTAGAAAAACCATATTCCAAATTTTTAATATTAACATTTACAAATTACTATAACAATATACGATAAGTACTATATAGAAACATATATAAATGCTATATACAAGTATATTATTACACATTGTAATTCAGGCATAATTATGAAAAAATAAATATAAACATTAAAAACGATACGCGAACAAAAGTTGTATGCAGTGAAAAAGTGAATAAAATAATACATAAAAAAATTATTTATATTTTTTTAATTTCATTAGGAAATTTTTGAAGAAACAGTAATTATTTTATTATATGATAGGATAGGTTTTTTTTTTGCTATAGAAGCAATATAAAATAATTATGTAGGGGCGACGTAGACTTGTTCGATCTTATCTGTCAGCTAATTCTGTTAAGTTTTGTTTTCTTAGTATATTTTAAATAGTTGATTAAAAAATTTGTATTGCACAATTAAAAATTAAAAAAAGTTATTATTTACAATTAAAAGCATTATAATTATAAATTATTATTAAAATGTTGTTTATAGAAAAAGGTCCATTTAATATATTTATAATTTTGTCAATTTTATAATTGTTGATTATAATTTTATCAACAATATCTACAAATATGTTCGTCATTAGTTACAACAACAAGAAATTTATTCTGTAGTTACATACACAATAAAAACTGTGATCGAAAACGAAGGATGGAAAAAAGGCATGGTGCCAAAATGCAACACCATAAATGTTTTCACAGACGGTTCAAAGATGGAAGTGGGAGTAGGAGCTGGCATATATTGTGCGGAATTGAGCATAAGAATGCCGTTTAAACTTCCCAACTACTGCAGTGTATTCCAAGCAGAAGTGTTTGCTGTTAAAAAAGCGGCGGAGCTTGTGTGTAGGGATGAAACCAGAAACTACTGCATAAATTTCTATGTGGATAGCCAAGCAGCCATTAAGGCGATCAAATCTTACTGGTCATCATCCAAAAATGTTCTAGAATGCAAGGAAGCTATAACAAGACTAGCCTGCAACCGCAGACTTTGTATGTACTGGATTCCTGGTCATAAAGGCATAGAGGGAAATGAGACAGTTGATGCTATTGCTAAAAATGGCGCAAAACTTTCAGAGGAACAAACGAGCGAAGTACTTAGACCTCTGAAACAAATACATAAACTTCTGGACGAGCACATGATAAGGAGAGCAAAGGAAAGGTGGCGGAACTTAACCACCTGTAGAACAGCTAGAATTATGTGTAGGCACATATATGAAGAAAAATACACCAAGAATGTTATATCGTTAAACCGAAGGAACTGTAGAACATTAATTGGTGTGTTGACAGGTCACTGTTTGGTTGCATCACATGCCCGAAAACTAAACCTTATTCACAACGATGCTTGCAGAAAATGCAATGAGCCGGATGCAAAGGAAACTCTAGAGCATCTGATGTGTAATTGCCCGGCTCTCTCGAGAACTCGACAAAAATACTTGGGAGCTTTCAGTTTTGCAGGACTGGAGTACATACCTGAGGTTTCTGTTGGAATCTTAATAAATTTTGCTAATGAAACGCGCATCTTAAGTGATGCTTACAATCGCTAAAACAAGACTCTGATCTGGTATCGCAATGGACCCTAGTGGTCTACGCGTGGCCTTTATGGCCTGCCAGCATAATCTAATCTAATCTACATACACAATCCTCTTGATTGATATTAGTAACCACTGTAGCTGTGCATAAAAAATTACTTGATTGTTTTTTATACTACAAATTGTTTTAAAAATATATCAAAAATGTTATTTCAAATAATATAGTCTGTACTTTACTTTTAATAATAAAGTATTCAAAATGTAACGGGTAGGTTTGAGATAAGAAATTATATATGACATGTAACAAGATTCATGGCTATAATTAGAGCTTTAAGTATTACCAACTGAGTATTTCGAGCTATCTGAAAATGAAACTTGAATTTAACTTTGTTAAACTGTGGATACGATTGCGGTTTGTGGTTTTAATCTGCGTATTGCATCTTTCTTTTCATGCTCTTATGTAATTATTTTTAGGTTCTAATGGGCCTCAACAGAATTAACAAAAAATTGTTCGAATACCGTATTGAGCATTTACTGTTATAAATGCTTTCATAAAACAAAACGAAAATAATATAATAGAAGAAGAGCCGAACAGGTATCCGAGTAGTCAGAACATCTTCGAATATCTCGTATGGTTTTGAATGTTTAAGCTTTACTATCTAAATATTCCAATTTGAGTATACACAACGTGCAGTTTTTACACTATTAAAAGGTGCTAAAAGAGCTATTATAAAAAAATTTTGCAAGGTGTAAAAAAGATTATGACTTTTATGTCATAATGTTAGACAGAGAATAACCCTAACAAATAGGAATATAAGGAATATCTCTATATTGGGGGCAGTCATATATTTTTTGTAAAAGATATTGTATATATTTTATACCTCAAAGTTATTTTTTCTCTAGTATATTCTAGAATTTGTACGCTTTAAGATCTGAAGTTGAGGTCTTATAGCACCTCAAATAAAAGAGAATTGGTTTCATACATGATAAATTACCATTAAATTAGTCTATTTTATATGTATTAATTTGATTTTAGTGATTTGGTTCTCGATACATAAATAATTTATTTAATCCAATAATTATATCTATTCAAAAAAAAAAATTAAATTCATTGTGTTTTGTTCTTTTAATAATATTTGAACATTCTATATCTGTTGATTCCATCTTTGTGGGGATATATAAGTATTTCATAATAAATACTTATACTTAAATACTTAACTCTATTTAAGTTTTTTACTAAGTGGAGCCCCTATCTGCTACATGTCGCATGGATTGTTGAAATACTATTTTTTTAAATACTTACCTATTCTTAACGCACTGTTGTACTCGTATATATACAATTTTGATGTAATAAGGACCCACTTTTGTTGGAGATTCTTAGCTTAGTGGAAATTAGAACCAAATATTTCTTCAAGAATGATTGAAAGGCGTAACAACTTCTATATTACACTCTTCGTAAATATGCACAATATGGGTAAAGTAGTACCAGTACTGTTAATACAGCCAAAATGCTAAATTAATTAAATGTAATAAAATAAAATAAAACGCAATTAATTTAAATTAAATTAAATTGATTAAAATAAATTAAATTAATATGAAGTAAATAAAATTAATTTAAATTAAATTATATAGTGTAAAATGAAATAACCTAAAATAATAGAAATAAAAAAATTTGTGAAGTAAAATATGCTAAAATAAAGTTAGAATACATAATTTATTTCAAATTAAATGATAATTAAATTAATTTAAAAACCATTAAATAAAAGTCATAGATTTTTCTGTAAAAAAAAACGATATAAAATGAGTATATAACATGGTTTTTTATGTGCTTTTTTATTTAAACAAAACGTTTGGAAATGTCTTGAAGGGAAAACTTGGGGACATCCCTATGCAGTCGAAGTCTCTTCTACTCCATTAATAGTACTGAGTTATATTTTATTCGAAATGATCCTACATCCATAAAGTTTAAAGAATCTAGACCAAAGAAAGCAAATGAAAAATTTGATCGGGTGATATTGTCAATACGAGTATGCTCTAAGAACATCAACGATCAAAATTCAACGACCAAATGCAAAAATAGACGATATTAACAGATTTTCTAAAAAATAGAAATAAAATTACTT